AGGGTTGCCGTGTAGGATGCCACTTGGGGGAGTGGTTCAGGTAGCTCAGGCAAGTGGCCCTGTACTCATCCCCTCCTTCCTGTTCCTCATTATAGTCTGGGCACCAAAGTTCCTTGAGTAGATCGCCTTGCAGTAATTCTTCCGTCACTGCTTCCTCTGCTTCTACATTTCTTACCATGTAGCAGTCGTGGACTTCAGCGGGATATCTCATATTTTTGAAGATGTTGAAGGTGACCTTCTCCCCATCAAAGTGCAGTGTGATTTCTCCCTTTTTTACCTTAATGATTACATCGCTTGTTGCCAGAAAAGGTCTCCCCAAGATGATGGGTACATCCCTGTCTTCTTCCATGTCCAAAACCACAAAATCGGCTGGGTAAACAAAGTTACCAACTTTCACAAGAACATCATGTAAGATTCCCTTTGGGTAAGTCAGAGATCTGTCTGCCAACTGCAAGGTCATGTTGGTAGGTACCAGAAATTTGTCCAGATCAAGGGATTTAAATACAGACAATGGCATGAGGTTTATGCTTGCACCAAGATCTAGTAATGCTTTTGAAAATTCTCTGATTCCTACAGTGCAAGGAAGAGTGAAACTACCCGGATCTTTTAGCTTAGGTGGTAATTTTCTCAGGATAGCTGCACTACATTCTTCATTTAGAGTGACAAAAGCAGAGTTATGCAATTGTGGCTTATTCGCCACTAAATCCTTCAAGTACTTAAACTATTTAGGCATTTGTTTAAGTGCATCAACAAGCGGTACATTAATATGTATACTTTCTAAATTCTGAATAAACCTGTTGAGTCCTTCATCCATTTTTGCTTTCTTCTGTCTTACTGGATATGGTGGCGTCGGAGCTGGCTGTTGTGGTTCCTTAATTGGTGCTGGAAATTGAATTCCCTCCATTCCAGGTTTTTCAGCGGGTTGCTCCTGTTCAACCATATCATCATTATCAGATATTTGCTCAGAAGAAGTTTCATTCTTACTTGCAGGGTCACTCGCAGGAGTGACTTCTTCACTTGGCTGATTGAGTTGCTTTCCACTTCGGAGAGTGACAGCCTTCGCTTGCTCTTGGTCATTCCCCTTGGGGTTCACAATTGTGTCACTGGGCAGGCTCCCGATGGTCTTTCAGCATTTTGTTTTGCAATCTGGACCAACTGATTTTCCAAAATTTTACAAGACACCGCCAAACTCTTGATTGCATTTTGTACAGAAATCCATTCATCTTCCCTTGGTATGTAAAACGTTACTGATTCTGATAGTTGGGAAGCTGACCATCTTGTCTATGGAATCCTGGGGGTTGAGCAGGCCTTTGATAATTTCCTTGTTGTGGAGCATTGTTCCAGTTGGTCTGTTGCTGATTTCTCCAATTGTTGAAGTTGTTGAATCCCCCTGCATTGCCCTGTCTGACAAACTGGACAGCTTCCATTTTGGAAGGGCAGTCATCCAAACTGTGGGATCCATCACATAATACACATACTTCTGCCTTGGATTTGGACAGCTCACTCTTGAGCTTAGTCATTTCGTTCATCATAACAGCCATTTGAGCTTGCAGATGTGTACTGGGATCTAGTTCCATCATCCCTGGCTGTTTTGAAATTGCCCTTGGATCAGATTGCCATCTTGAATGGTTGGTGGTCATATTGTCGAGCAATTGCCTTGCTGCATCAACTGGCTTCATCATAAATACACCACCAGCTGCAGCATCAAGGGAATCTCTTGTAGTTGGTAGCAGACCATTGTAGAAGATGCTCAGTTGAAGATGCTCTTTTAAACCATGCTGAGGACATTTTCTAACCATTTCTTTCAATCTTTCCCATGCTTGATAAAGTGTTTCTGTTCCATGCTGCTTGAAGTTCATTATTGCTGTTCTGAGTTGTGCAGCTTTTGTAGGTGGGAAGAATTTTGTTAGGAAACACTGCCTCAACTCTTCCTAAGTGGAAATGGAGTTGTTGGGTAATGTGTTGAACCATGCTTGGGCTTGATCCTGCAATGTAAAAGGGGATAGTCTCAGTCTAATGTCATCATTAGATAAGCCTTGAATTTTAAAAGTACTGCATAAACGCAAAAAACTTCGGATGTGATCATTAGGATCTTCATGAGGTAATCCATGAAATGGGCAGGCTGATTGAGTCCATTGGATCATCTGTGGCTTGAGCTCAAAATTGGTTGCTTCTACATCAGGGAACACTAGGGGAGATTGGACTTCTTCTTGCTGTGGGATGAAGAAATCTCTAAGTAGTCTTTCTGGTCGGTTTTGTTGATCCCCACCAGGGTTCCTATTGTTCTCCGGATTGCCACCTTGGTTAGCCATTTCAGATGAACCTTCTTGGTTGTCCTGTTGTGCCCGGTTCTGCCTTCTTCTTGCCGCTCTGGTTCTACGGATGGTAGCTTCAATTTCTGGGTCAAAAACAGGTTCACTTCGTTGGTGCCTTCTAGTCATACACCAAAGAAAAGAAACTGGAAGCTTAGTGAGATAACCAGAGAAGAATTTTATATATATATATACACAAATAAAAACAACAAATTTTTGGAGGTTTTACGCCGTCCCCGGCAACGGCGCCACTTTCTAGTGCTTGCCGAGTTCACCAAAAAAAAGATAAATATTACTAGCTTGGATTATGAGTTTTGTAGATAATGGAAGCAAGGTCAGTCCCACGAGGACAGCTAATTACCAAATTTGTTGTAAAGAAAAACTGTCAGTCAACAAGGTGTCACTCAGGAGAATGAAAACAGTCACTCAGGGGAATGGGGGCCAGGGGTGTTCTTCTCCTCTTCCTGCTATTGTAGTTGTTTTATTAGCACAGTAATGGCTGAGTTCTTGTTCATTCAGCTCACTTATAACTCTAAGTCAGTTCCCATTTTTCCTAGAGTCATCTTTGCAACCTTAACAACCTATTTTTCAATGGTTGATTCCGGCTACAAAGTCATTAAGTTCCTAGGCCTTCAAGAATGCTTATGTTAACTAAGTATATTCCTATCTTAGTTAAAACCATAGACTGTTACCTCTATGTCATAAGTTAAAGTTGAAACAATCCAAACCAAGTTTATCCTTCTAAATCTCCCTTAGTTCTAGCATGCATTCAATTTAGTGATCAAGTAAATGAATGTAGAAAAACTTTCAACCATAAAACAATGAACAAAACTAGTGCTTTGACAACTACAACATCAGTTGAGGAGAATAACCCCTTGAAACTGTTTAGCTACTCATACGAATAAATGCTACATCTACTACATCGAAGGACATCATAGAAGTATGCATAATAAATAAAGTTCAAGCTAACAGTCAAGAGATGAGAAGGAAGCTTGTGCAGTTTCTGAGTCGCTCCTGGGAGTGAAAGGGTCCACTCGTGGAACTGAAGAAGAAACTGGGTTGCTATTCTTTAACTTAGCTTCCTCACTGAGTTGTTGCTGCTTCTTCTTCTTTCTTGTCTCCTACCTGAAGTTTTTCTGAATGTTTTTGCAACTAAGAAGCTAACCAGAGACTGATGGAGAGATGCCCCTGTGAGAGTGCCGTTCCCCTTCTTTATAGTACTTTGCAACCGGTGTCTTCATCATGAGAACCTCCCCATGCTTGGAGTTGTTTAATCCTTCCAATGTCTTGAGCCTGCAATCCAACTTGGCCGTTCCTTTTCTCTCTTCCAGCAGCAGCCGTTTTGCTCTCATTGATCAGCAGTGGTGGCTGGGATTGCGGCTGGGAGACAAGCATGCCTTTAGGAGGAGGCAAGGCCATTAATGACAAGATGCTTCTTGTCTAAGACCCTCCTTCTTCGTCCAGCTCAGCACCCTTGCCTCAGCAGTCCATAATTTGCTCCTTTGGCTTCCAATTTTCAGCAATTATTCAGTCCGGTCCTTTCCTAACAATAATATAAAAAATGAGCTAAGTAAATTGCACCAATGTTAGGAAATACCCCCAATTGTTCATCAAATACAAAGTTAAGTGTGATGCTTTTATGTAACAATTTAACCATTGTAAATTTTCTTCAAATTCTAAAAATAGTGGTTATGGTTTGGCGTATGTATGCACATTCTGAAGTTTTTTCATTTTTTTCATGATTCCAATTCGTAATTTACCGAATATGAATCAAGGAGGCACAACTCATACTCTTTCTGCATTGGATACCGATTCACTTGATGTAACTAAGCAACTATTTTTCTGATCCATTATGCTTGGTTAATGCTTGGAGTTCATCTTCAAGTAGTTTTCTGGTGTTCTTTTAATGTGGTATATTATTTCAAGATAATGATAAAATTTGGAAGTTAGTTTAATCTGAATTTTTATGTGATGTTTATGGATGTATATTAAAGTATTGGTTTGTGGGTGTTTTGACTTGCTTTCTGCAATATTAATTGACCTATTTGGGTTACTTCAAGAATAGATTGAGCCATCTTTTTAGGTTGTTGGTTCTTTGGTTACGCTTAACCGGCCCTTGGGCAATCTATATTAATTGAATTACAAATTTTTTTTATTAATAATTTTACGCCATATTGAGTTTTTATATTTGTATTGTTTTTTAGTAAATTTTAAAAATTTAATTATTATGGTCATTTAACTGATTTAAAATAAAGACGCCCTGAATATGTGCCAGAGCAAATCATATACAAAACATATATACACTCTTTTAATTTTTTTTTCAAATTAGTACTTCCTTTATTTATTAACACAATATTAATATAGAGGGGATCGTCCGTACATCCGCCCGGACCAAGCATCTAGTTAGTGTTACATCACAATACAAGATGTAAACCGATTTCTCAATCTTGGGATTAATAGTAGTAACTTCCTTGATTTTTTCCCACAAGATAGTAAGTCCTATCTGTATTTGGAATACATTTTTTACATTAACACATTTTAAATTATTATTCTTATTTACGTTCGCAATTCACACACACACCCGCAATATAACTTAGATGAAAGAAAAAGGAAAATTGAAAAGTGAAAACTAATTGGGCATGAATTTGATTCCCATAAATTGTTCACTTCGACAACAACATAGGATAATCAAACTTGGGATTTTGTTCTTTCATCCAGAGGAAGTAGTTCGGCCGACTTCATGCTCCAGGCACTTAAGTTTGAGATCACAACACTTTCTGAGCCATAGTTAAAAACATATAGGTGAGCTTCATTACCAACGGCCAATTGTGGATAAACTCTGGCGGTGATGCAACTCTTCCCTCCACCTCCAAAACTTTCAACAATTGAGTGATCAATCTGCCAAAATCATTATAACCACAAAAAAAAAAAACAAAAAGATGTTATAAAACCTACAAGGAAACTAGGAATTTTTTTTTTTTTTTTTTATATTCCTTCGTTCCCCTAAAAAAGTCTCTTTTATTAAACTAAAACTACAAGAAACAAAAGACTAGATATGACTATATGAGGGCACTTACCAAACTTCTTAGGGAAATGTTTTGTGTTGGATCAACATTCAAAAAGGCCCCAAATGTGGATTTGCCAACCCCTTCTCTCAAAGAAGACCTACAAAAAAAGTAGGATTAGCTTGCACAGAAAAAAAAAATGCTCTGATTTCGCATGATTTAGAGCCGAGTATAGTGAAAAGAAATATACTGTGGTTAATGGTCACCTTGTTTGATCGCTGCACATGAGCACAACGTACTCGTAATTGCCTTTATTATATATCCGGAAAAAGATATCAGTGTGTTCAGTCAAGTCACTTGAGGCTAAAACCATAAAGCCAAATGGTCCAACTTTCCCTCCAGCTGATGCATTCTTTCTGCTGCAAAGGACTTGAGGGTCGCGCCATTCCGGATGCAGTAGTTCCGTATCATCAAGATTTGGGAGGTGAAATGAGACTTCTATGTCCGCCTGTGGAGAATGAGTTATCTTCCTTCCATCTACAACTTAATGAACCTAAGGTAACAAAAGAAAAGACTGAATTAGCTAGTGTACCTGTGAAGCTGTAACGCCGGTTTTCTCAAATGCAGCTCCTCCTTTGACCTCATAATTCTGAATACTGATTTTTTTCGTGCGCAAGGTTTCGATTTCTCTAACCGGCCATTGCAATAATTGCTTTCCACCTTCATCAAGCAAGATTGCTCTAGGTAATGAGTGCAAATTAGAGTAACTTGTTACATTTTATGTGACAAGAATTTATGAAAGGAACTGGCCTAATCAGTTAGCTATGTCTAAAACTACCTGTAGTCCAGACCATCCCTTTTTCAAGTCATCTGATTGACTCTCTGCCTCCATAATCCATGCCCACACAATTCTCCTCCTATGTGCACCATCACAAAATGTTTTAGATATAGAAGCACATAAGTTCCATCTCAAAACCAATTGGCAATGAGGGAAGTAGCCCATATTCTTATATATACCGATGTGGGTTACTCAACACTCCCCTGCAAGCCCAACGTCTCTTCTTGGGTTGGGCTTGTCAGCCCAGTTCTATCATATCAGGCTTGGAGTCTGACTCTTGGCGGGCTGGCTCTGACTCTTGGTGGGCTGGCTCTGATACCATATAGAAAGTCATAGAATTCCACCTCAAAATCAATTGGCAATGAGGGGAGTAGCCTATATTCTTATATATTGATATCAACTCTCTACCACCACCGATGTGGGATACTCAACATTAGAATCATAGAACATTCCGTAATCATATCTCAAATCCACATTGTCATCCAGGAAGTCTTCTATACCATCATCAGCAACAAACTGGTCTATTTCTGGTTCATAAGTTCCGATGACATAGTAGTCGCTATTGTTAAAGCTTGCCTTGAGAATATGCTTAATATTTCCATCTATCACATAAGTATCAAGTCCATTGTTTCCATTAACATTGACAGGAAAAAAATCAGCACATTCCCACCATTTTGCTCTCTTTGTAGAATAAAAGGGTCTATGGCTCTTAGTCCAATTCACAAGATCCTCACTCAGATAGAGAACTGCTGCCCCATACCCACTAAGTTCGCAACCAATGATCACCCGCCATTTTCCATCCGGCCCCTGCCACGCAGTCGTTGGATCTCTAAACTGGTTATTCATCTCATCAACTGGAGTCATTATAGGATTATGTTCTGATTTACCCATTCACTGAGGTAAGGATCAGATGCATTCTTGGGAAAAGCCAAATTTTGTACTTGACGCTTCTCAGAATCACTTCCTGTGTACAATATAACAGGAGTTCCGTCGGGAAGAATTGTTGCAGAACCAGACCAGCAGCCGTTGATGTCAAAAGCGTCAGTGGGATCAAGTGCAGGTTCAAGATGAATCCAATCAACCAAATTATATGATACAGAATGGCCCCAAGAAAGGAAACCCCCAGCCCAAGTTGCTCCTTGTGGATTGTATTGATAGAAAAGATGATAAACTCCATTGTAATACATCGGCCCTGTTTAGACATCAGTGAGGGCAATCATATAATTGCCCTGATAAACAAAAGGCTAAACTACAATGTGATTCTAAGTAGACGATGGCATTGAATATCAACTCTCAAAAGCAATCAATCAAATAAAGAACTTGAAATGTACACATACCATTGGGATCTAATGAAGTCAAGATGTCATTACCATCACCATTTTTTTGGCGGTCAGAAGCAAAATCACATCAAGCAAATGACAGAAACAACAAGAAGAGAACATAATCAGCACCATCAAAGAGTTACAAAAGATTGAAGTGGCGGATAACCATAAACTTTCATCAAATTCAAGTGATCAAGGAATTTTTTCAGATTCTAAGAAGAAGAGTAAACTTACCATTCATCCAGTTTTTAGGTGGCTGGAAATGATAGCCTGTCCTGTAAGGCTGCAGTTGATCGTAGTCAACAAGAATAGGTTCATCAATTCTTGGTATTGGTACTAGTTTGAAAGTAACATAAGCCAGCATCACCGCCATCAACCAAGTATACGGGGAATATAATCTGATCTTCATCTCTTAATTTCTCTCTTAGTAATCAGATGGTATAGAATGTCTTTACTGGAAGAACTCAGTTGATTTTATATCAAGATTATCATATATTCCTGATTTAATATATTAAAAATGACTTGACTTATTAATAAACGGTGGTGGTTAGGATAATAAATTGTGGTGGTTAGGACCAGATTAACAAACATCAAGTCCTCAGATTACTTTGAGTTAATTTAACACTATAAAGTATAAAACATTTTATTTGGATTGGTGTGTTATAATATTGGCAATGATTAATAAACCATTTGTTGTAATGAGACAAAGTTTAAGATGAGTCATGTGTGACTCACTGGAGCATTGAGAGGTTTTGAAGCTTTTGAGCAAGGATGACTCGAACTTTCCAGTCGCAATGAAGGGAATACAAACGATATTTTCTCCGTCCCAAAATATTTTTCATGTTTGTTGAAGTCCAAAATAATCAGTAAATAACTTTAAAGCAACTATTTCATGGTCTTATTACAAAATATCAAATTTCACAAAAACATGACTCTGCTTTCCGGAAATTAAACATAAAATTTGAAAATATTTTTGTTTCGACATCACATTGGTTACATTTAACCGCTAAGGATCACCAAATTTGGGATGCTCTTCATTAAAGGAGAGAAGATAGTTGAGCTGCCTTCATGCTCCAAGCACTTAAGCTTGAGATTACAATGCTTTCATTCCCATAGTTGAAAACAAATAGGCGGGCTGCATTACCAACAGCCACTTTTGGATAAGCTCTGGCAGTGATGCAAGTCTTCCCTCCACCTCCAAAACTTTCAATGATTGAGTGATCAATCTGCAAAAAGTTTTGGAGAAGCTCAAAACCATGTTTTTATAAAGCCTACAAGAAGAGGAACTTGAGAACATTTATGTATATATGATATGAGCCACTTACTAAAGTTCTCAATGAAAGTTTTTGTGAAGGATCAATATCAACAAAGGCCCCATGTGTAGGTTTCTCAACCTCTTCTCTCAAAGAAGACCTGAAATGAATTAAAGTTTTTTTAGGACAAATTCTGATGTCCATGAATGGTTAAACAAGCTAATCAGTACCTGCTTTGATCACTACACATGAGCACAACATGTTCGTCTTCGCCTTTGTATACCCGAAAGAAAATGTCAGTGTGTTCGGCCAGGTCATCTGAGGCCAAAACCATCAACCCAAATGGTCCAATTTTGCTTCCAGCAGATGCATTTTTTGTCTTGCAAAAGGCTTGAGGATCACGCCCTTCGGGGGGCAGTAGTTCGGCATCATCAAGATTTGGTATATAAAACGAGACCTCTATGTCAGGCTAAGGATAGCAAATTGGTTACCATTGTGTGCAGAACATAATAAGCTTGGTAAGCAATAAATCAGGCTTACTTATTTAGTCTACCTGTGAAGCTGTAATGCCGGTTATCTCAAATACAACTCCCCCTTTGATCTCTTTATCCTGAATCTTGACTTCATTCGTGCGCAAGCTCTCGATTTCTCTAACAGGCCACTGTGATAATTGCTTTCCACCTTCATCAAGCAAGATAGTTCTAGGAAATGACTGCAGATCAGAAAGAAAATGTGCTAATTGGAGTGATAATTTGCTGATGGAGAAGCAAGCAAAGCCAGTAGCAGATGACAAAAAAGTTACCTGTACTCCACACCATCCCTTTTTTATGTGATCTGATGAAGTCTCTCCCTCCAGAACCCATGCCCACAATACTCTCCTTCTCTTTTCACTATCATAGAATGATTTCGAAGCGTAGAATACCCCATAATCATACCTCAAATCCACATTCTTATCAATGAAATCAAAATCAGCAACATATTCATCCGTTTCTGGATCATATGTTCCTATAACATAGCAGTCACGCATGCAAGTGCTGGTTAATGCTTGCCTTGAACACATTCTTAATATTTCCATCTATAACACAAGTATCAAGTCCATCAGCGCCGCTAACACTAACTGGAAAAAAATCAGGACACTCCCACATATTCGACGTTGTCGAAAAATGAAGAGGTTTACAGCTCTTAGTCCAGGTCTCAAAGTCATCACTGTGATAGAGAGGATGTCCCATGCAAATCCATCTAGCCACCTATAGTAACACGCCAGTTTCCATCCGGCCCCTTCCACGCCGTCGTTGGATCTCTGAACAACCTGGCACCCATCCCATCAACTGGAACCATTAAAGGATTTTTATCTGATTTGATCCATTCTCTAAGGTAGGGATCAGATGGATCCTTGGGGATGGCCAAATTCTGAACTTCACGTTTCTGAGAATCGATTCCAGTGTACAAAATCGCAGGAGTCCCGTCTGGAAGAAATGTTGCAGAACCGGACCAGCAGCCATTGATGTCAAAGGAATGAGTGGGATTAAGAGCAGGCTCAAGATGAACCCAATCAACCAGATTACTTGACACCGCATGCCCCCAAGAAAGATCACCATCGCCAAATTGAGCTTCCCGTGGATTGTATTGATAGAAAAAATGGTAAAATCCATTGTAATACATCGGGCCTATCAAATCAATTGGGAGAGATTATCAGGTAAAACAGTTTTGCTTAATCAAAACAAGAACACCAGTGGACTAATTAACTAAACTGCGACATTGTAATATACTTTCAGCTAGTTCAAAAGCTATCAAAAAATTGGATTAGTTGAAATACAAACATACCATTAGGATCCATAGTGGTGAAATTCAGTAATCCATCACCATTTTTCGGCCATCAGACGCAAAAATCACCGCCAGCAAGCAAATAACAGCAACCCAGAACATAAAAAACAACAAGAAGAAAAATCCATTCAGCCGTGAAGAATCCAAAATTAAGTCAATGTAATAAGGAAACAATAATATGTATTTTTCATCAAATATCATTACCGTTCATCCAGTTTTTTGGAGACTGAAAATGGAAGGCTGTCTTGTAAGGCTGCTGCATTACTGCTTCTTCTGTTGGATCATCATGCTCATCAACCCAAATTTCATCAGTTACTGTTACAGGAGAAATTGATCCTGGCATCTTTTTCTTTCTCTGTTTCTCAAACTGATTAATTGGAGAAAATGAAGTGCCTTGCTTTTTTTGTTGAAGCAAATGTCAAACTATAAATATAAATTATATTCTATTGGAAGAATTAGTGCATCATCATGCCATGATATTTTACCTGATTATGCAATTAGAAAAGGACTTGATGACTTTTACAAATAAACTATGGTTGTTAGGAACAAAATTAGCTTGCATCCATACTTTAGTTAATCAGATTATGATGTGGATGATCTTAAAAGATACTCCTTTTATTTCATTTTTTTAAAAAAATTTATTTTTATAATCAGGGATGAACTTAAATGAATCATTGGTGACTAGATCAGTGACCATTTAGATTTTATACTTTTCAGCGAAGACTTCTTGGGCAGCAAGCATCGACAGATGATGAAATTTAACAAATAAAAAAACCCACGCAAACCTCTAAAGGATAATATATTTTATAATCTAGCAAGGAGATTAATTACAAATCCGTAAACATGAAGAATTTTTTTTTTTTATTTGAAATGTAAAGAAATAAAACTGAAACAAGGAGTCAAAATGAACCATTTTTTAGAAAGAAAAAAAAAATAGTACGAGAGTTTATCACTAATGTGTAACAATTGAATTTATCTGTTTGCTTTCTTTTTCTCCTTAACTAGTATGTACCCCGTGCGTTGTACTGCAGAACTTATATAGTATTGTATCAAAATTTTACATCATATAATCTGTAGTTTAAATATAGAAATCCTAAAACTACCAACAGTTGATATTCTGAAAATCAAAAAAAAAAAAAGAAAATAAAAGAAAAAAATCAGGTGATCAAAGTAACAAAACTATAAAAGTTTGTTGTTCATTGTATATTTTTACCCTTAAAGACAACAATAGTGGGTTGTTTAATATGCAAAACAACAGGTATTACTGTTTGGAGGTATTGCTAAATGTATTGAAAAAGAACTCATTAAATATTCACTCCTAATTTATATCCATCAATGTATTTAGTAATAAAATATAATGTGATCACGTAAAAATATATCAATAGAATAAAAATGTAGGGAAAAAAATCCCATTTGAGCTGTTTCCACGAACAAATCAAATAAACAAAAAAAAAAATAGTCTGTTTATTTTAAATAAGAAAATGACCCTAACTTATATGATTTGCTAGGAAATATCCCTTCCGACCCTTATTATAAGGCATTTTGATCTGACTCAAGTTACATTTAGTATATTCTTCGAATTAAGAATAAGATTTTAAAAATATTTTATAATTGGAAGAACATAATAAATGCTAAAGTACATTTTTAAGCAATTAAAAAAATATATAAAAAGAAATTTAGAACAAATCAAATTTTCTTATTATGAGCACCGGAAGGAGTAACTCAGTAAGGCTTAAAAAGAAATAATATGTATATAAGAAATCATATGAGCTAGATATGTTTTCAAAATTTAGAAAATTCGCATAATAAAGATACTATGTATAGCAGTTGATATGGAGATTTAGAAAACTGATAAAAAAGATAATCTTCATATTCAGAATCATGGCAGCTCATGGACTACTCCTTATATGTCAGCTTCTTCAAATATGGGTTGTGTAATGATTGGAGTGAACTATAAAAACTTTATGGAAATGATACCGATCAACCCATCTTCATTGTCGAATTGGTATTCGCGATCAATCTAAGCATTGTTTAAATTTTAAGAGAAGATTGAGCGGACAGCTTTGGTTCCAATCAGTCAATGAGGCTGCGACGTCAATTTTGTTAGATGACAAAAGTTAGCAATCGGAGAAATAGAAAAGAGAAAAGGTCAATATCAATTTAGATATCAACAACACTCAGATCATGAATAGCTGCAGTAGGATGGATTTCATGAAGATGGTCGCCGTTGTTGATGACTATGTATTTCAAAAATGATATAGCTTAATTAAGTCAACACCATATTATCTGATGAATTAAAGGGGTTGAAATAATCTAAATAGAAATCGTTACATAGTAATTTCTGTGGAGTAACGATTTAACTATTTATTTAATTGTCAATCCAGCATTTTTTTGTACTAATTTGGATTCTAGGTGTATCCTAATTTAGATACTAATTAGAATGTTAATACAGAATCGTATCAATAGAATTATCACACATTTTGTTTCCAATTCAGACCTAATATGAAATTAATAAAGAGATTTCATACTTTGCTTTCTTCAAGTTGCATTTTGCTTGTTTCCTTTTTCCCTAAAAATACAAAAAAAAAAAAAGATTTTTCTTGCACAAACATGTCGTTCAATTTCTTTTTATTTTTATTATATATGCCAATCCTTTATTTTTGCCCTTGCAAAACTAAATTCCCATTCATCCCATTTTTACTATAAAAAGGTTTCGAAACTCAATATCTTTTATTTCTATATTTCAACTTTTTTACTCCACAAAAGTTTCTCTTATGATAAAAGTATTCTTTACTTTTTATTTTAAGGTAAATTTCTATTTACTTAATTATGAACGTCTTAGTTAATATTTGGTTACTTAACAAAGGCCTTTGTTGCTTTTCTTTTAATATTTAGAGTCAAAATTTTCTATTTAATTTTTCATCACAAATCATGAAAAGAGAAAAAAAAAAAGGCTCGGATATAAATATTAGTGTGGCAAAAAAGCTTAAAAAACCTTTTCCTAAAAAGAAAAGAGAACCAAAATAAAATGGGCATAAAACATTATTGAAAATGAATGTAAGTAAAAAGTGTGACCTAAAAGGTCCTTATCTGTTTTTATAAACAATCCTTCTAATATTCATTTGACCAAAATATATGAATTACAAAACTAATTATCCTATTTTTAAAAGCAATAATAAAGATCTATCCTCAGATTTCCAGAGGCCAACTAAAGCCATTCAAACATTAAACACACCACAAAAATAAAGCTCGTGATTATGCAAGCCATTTTAAAAAATATAATAATCCAGTAAGTAATCCAATTTGTCCATCAAAATTTGGACCTGCCTCCATATGCAAACCCGGTTGAAGAAATTGTATTAATTTAAAGAAAATAAGCTCGTGAATATGCAACGTGATCTGATCTGATGAGAGGCAGCAACGACAGAAACAATATAAGACGTTCGCAAGGCCAAATTTGATCGGATTATTTACAAAGTCAACAACAAAGAGAGGCCATTGCGGTTGTTTTAGAATTTAAAAGTGAGTTAATTTGAATCTATCCTAACGAAAATTCTGATGGAAGAAATTAATTAAAGTAATTCAACTAAATATAGAAACGGTAAATTTCTTAGATTAACAGTTTCATTTCTAATTCAAATTGTACTAAGAGTGAAATATTAAACTGAATAATAATTTTGGAACAGAGAAAATATAAAAAAGGACTAAAGATCCAATCCTCCACTCCTTAATCTGATTAATTTAAGTTGGATGCAAGCTAATTAAATTTGGTCTTAACAACCATAATTTATTTGTAAAATTCAGTAAGTCGTTGTCAAAATTGCTTAACCAGGTAATATCATGGCATGATGCACTGAATTCTTCCAAACAAATACACTTCACTTTTCATCAGAGAATGCAGCGCATCATGAATCGAGAGATGATGAAATTAAACAAATAAACCCTTGCAAACCTCCCGTCAATATAAATAACCGCAAATTTTTATAATTTAGTGAGGAGATTAGTCACAAGTCCTAAATATAATTAAAAAATAAACAATTAAAATTTCAAAATGAGTGGATAAAATAAAGTATTCTTTTTCTAAAACGGAAAGAATAGCAGTACAAAATCATACTACAAGAGTCGAATTTATTTCTTTGCTTGTTTCTACGTATAGAAAAAAATTGATTCTAGCAATCCCAAAAATATAATTCACATATTGTGTTTTGTGATTTTTGTACTATAATAATGAGACAAGATGGGATGAACTTTTGGAATTGAATTTGTGAAATAGCGATTGGTATGAACGGAATTCGTAAGAATCTCTGGGTTGAAAGTTTAATGAAACATATGTTTTGACTCCATGCTGACTGGAAATGTAGAAGGGTCCTATTCTCGTCATAAACACGATAGGAGAAAACATTTTGAGGAATGTTTATGCCATAAGGTAGAATATATAATACTTGCGTTCTAATAGTACGTACTATTTCTTCTCGATAAAATTTATTTTCATTGTAATAGTCTAGATATCTTTCAAGCATTAATAAATTCCAGTCTCAAATAAAATTAGAAACGAAAAGAGCACTTGTAGTCTTGTACTTCTGATTGTAACAATTAACATGCTGGACGTTCTAATTAATTATTTGAGATCTAATAATTTCACTAGCCACTAAAATACACTCTCATATGGTTTCATTCCAAGAGCATCTTGTGATTCATTATATGTAGAATTTTCTAATTCTTTCAAGTAAAGGAAAGATTTGAGCTGACTTGTTGCTCCAAATTAAGTTTGAAATTACAACACTTTCTGTGCCATAGTTAAAAACATAGAGATGAGCTTTATTATCAACAGCCGATTGGGGGTAAACTCTGGAGGTAATACGAGTCTTCGCTCCAATTCCAAAAACTTTCAACAATTGAGTAATCAATCCGCCAAAAAAAAAAACCAATTGTAAAGCACAATTACATGATACATCGGATGAGTGATCAGAGCAAGGATCACTTGAATTTCACCGATTGTAATGACATGAACATCTCTCCGTCCCAAAAAAATCGTTTTATTTAAAAAATCGTCTGGTTTATTTTAGTACGAAACAGTAATGTCATACATATGATTTGTCTATATATATTTCTTGACTCTTATAGATTTCAAACATATAATAGATAGCATCAAAGAGTGAGCTTCATGATCTAGTAATGTCGGTGCTCTAATCGTTTCTTTAATAACAGAAAATCATTTCAGGTCTATTTTTCAGAAATTGAACTTAAACTTGAAACATTTATTGACACTGGGGATGTAAAAACTATATGGGAAATGTGAAAAAAAGTATTTGGCATTCAAGAGCCATGAAAATTGTGAAAAAATTTGGGAAATAGAGATATCCAAGAGCATATGATAATCAAATTTGGGATTTTGTTCTTTCATGTAGAGGAGATAGTCGAGCAGGCTTCATGCTCCAAGCCCTTAAGCTTGAGATTACAATGCTTTCAGTCCCATAGTTGAAAGCATATAGTCGGCCTGCATTACCAACCGCCACTTTCGGATAAGCTCTGGCGGTGATGCAAGTCTTCCCCCTACCTCCAAAACTTTCAATGATTTAGTGATCAATCTGAAAAAAAGAATGGAGAAGAACAAAATTATGTTTGTTATAAATCCTGCAAGACAGAACTTTATTTTCTATCTATGAGCCACTGACCAAACTTCTCAATGAAAGGTTTTCTGAAGGATCAACATCAATGAAGGCCCCATATGTAGTTTTTTCAACCTCTTCTCTCAATGAAGATCTGCAATAGAATAAAAAGCTTTCACTGAACGAGTTCTGTTTTCCATGAATAAGAAAGGATTATGGTTAAACCGGCTAATAATTACCTGCTTTGATCACTGCACATGAGCACAACATGTTTGTCATTGCCTTTGTATATTCGAAAGAAAATGTCAGTGTGTTCAGCCAAGTTATCTGAGGCCAAAACCATCAATCCGAATGGTCCAATGTTGCCTCCAGCGGATGCATTCTTTATCCTGCAAAGGGCCTCAGGATCGCGCCATTCACGAAGCAGTAGCTCCGCATCATCAAGATTAGGTATATGAAACGATACCTCTACGTCAGCCTAAGCATAGCTAATTAGTTACCACTGTCTGTAGAACATAAGAAGCTTTGGTAAATTAGGCTTAATTAGTCTACCTGTGAAGCTGTAATGCCGGTTATCTCAAATTCAGCTCCCCCTTCAATCTCTTTGTTCTGAATATTGACTTCTTCTGTGCGCAAGCTCTCAATTTCTCTGATAGGCCACTGAGTTAATTGCTTTCCACCTTCGTCAAGCAACATAGATCTAGGAAATGACTGCATGTCAGAAAGAAAATATGGTACTTTGAGTGACACAATTTGCCGAGTGAGGAGAAAGCAAAGCCATGAGTAAAATTACCTGTAGTCCAGCCCATCCCTTGTTTATGTCATCCAATTTATTATCTGCCTCCAGAACCCATCCCCACATTACTCTCCTTCCCTTCAAACTATCATAGAATGTTTTAGAGGCATAGAATACCCCATAATCATATCTCAAATCCACACTCTTATCCTTGAAATGAACATCAACCACAAATTCATCTGTTTCTGGTTCATATGTACCGATCACATAGCTGTCGCGCATGTAGTCATCCATGTTAATGCTTGCCTTCAGCACATGCTTAGTATTAGTATCCATCACAGAAGTATCAAGCCCATTAGTGCCATTGACACTAACAGGATAAAAATCAGGACACTCCCAGATTTTTGTTGCATCCGAAAAATGAAGAGGTTTGGGGCTCTTACTCCATGTTACAAAGTCATCACTCTGATAGAGAAGTGCTGTCCCATGACCATTAATTTCGCTACCAATAATCACCCGCCATTTACCATCCGGCCCCTGCCATGCCGTTGTTGGATCTCTAAAAAACCTGGTGCCGATCCCATCAACTGGAACCATCAGAGGATTATGATGTGATTTGATCCATTCTCTAAGGTAAGGATCAGATGGATTCTTGGCAATGGCCAAATTTTGCACTTCCCGACTCTGAGAATCAACTCCAGTGTACAAAATAGCAGGAGTTCCATCTGGAAGAATTGTTGCAGAACCAGACCAGCAACCATTGATGTTCGAAAGGATCAGTGGGATTAAGAGCATGCTCAAGATAAACCCAATCAACCAGATTATACGAGACTGCATGCCCCCAAGATAGATTACCACTGCCAAATTGTGCTTCCCGGGGATTGTGTTGATAGAAAAAATGGTAAACTCCATTATAATACATTGGCCCTATTCGATATAAATGGTCAGGATCCAATGCATCAATCAATAAGGGAGATCAAAAATCAAAACAAGGACAGCAGTGAGACTAACTAAAGTACTAAACTACGATATGGTTATATACTTCGGCCGACTTCATAGCGAACTACATTGCATCATTCATTAAGCCATTTTATTAGCTAATGGCTTCGATTAAAGTGTTCATACATTATGCCACTCACATGATCATTTCTTGAGAAAATTAAGTATATGCATCAGAGGCCTAAATATTCTGCATCTAAAATTCTGCTAGTGCCAGTCGATTGAATCCCCTGAATTCAATGAAAGTTTATCTAATTTCCATGCTAGGAAAACACGTTATTTTCAGTCAAATAAGACAAAATATAAGCAGTACTGGGATTTCAACATAAATGGGAAAAGTATGATGTAGAACTGAGAATGTTATCAATAAACTAATTAAAATGGAGGAGTTGAAGGGCACATACCATTTGGGTCTATAGTGAAGTAAAGAATTCCATTTCCATCATCATGATTTGGCCACCAGGAAGCAAAATCACACAGAAGCCAGCAAATTGACAGCAACCCAGAACAACAAGAAGACGAAAAATCATCATGAGCACTAAAGGAGTACACATAATTTTCTTTAAAGTAGTAGTAATTAGAGAGAATTAATCAGAAGATATCATGAATGAATTACCATTCATCCAGTTTTGAGGAGGCTGGAAATGGAAAGCTGTCCGGCAAGGCTGCTGGAGTAGTACTTGTGTCGGATCATCGTACTTAACGATAATCATTTCATCATCATATGATGATCTCTTCATCTCTCTGTTTCTCTGTTAATCAAATTGATTAGAGAAAACGAAGCGACCCGCTTGGCTATTTGTAATGAAGTAGTAATTAACTTTACCCACTCACTGTTGATTAAAGTCAACCCAAGAGAGGAACATGAATAATACAAATGGTACTCCGTCCCAAAATTATTATTCAGTTTGAAATTTTACTTTTAATATAATTTGAACTAAAAATAAAAATCTAAATCGAACAATAATTTCAGGACAGATGGAGTGTCATGTTTTGTTGTACTAGATTTAGCCAATTAAAAAATGTTACATAAATTATGGTGGTTAGTTAATTAGGACCAAATTGGTTTGCATCAAACTTAGGCTAATCACATCTGGGGATGGGGTTTTTAGCCAATCTTTAACATAATCGATTTGCATCGTTGGCTCTTGGTGATGATTGATGGTTAATGTTATCATCTCCTTTTTTTATAATCAGTGACCAGCTCTTGGTATTGATTGATGGTTAATGATGTCATCTTTAAAAAATAAAAATAAAAATCAGTGACCAGTGAAAAATGTGGAACTAGCTATAGTATAATCTTGTTTTTAGTGCTAGTTGACAGTAGACAAGCTAAGTGAGACGAAAAGTATACATAACAATTACATATAATTATTCATATTATAAATCACAAAAGTGAAAACTCAAACTGGACAATGATTTTAATACGGAGGGAGTATTTTCTACTGCCGGTTGGGATGGGATGGGATGCATTCTTTGTAAGTGCCAAGTTTTGGACTTTCTGAGAATCAATCCCAGGGACCAGGGTAGGAATGTGGGAGATCAGGTAATGAATTCTGCTTAATCAAGCAAGCACAAGATGGGAACTAAATTATGAGTTTCGTCTTTTCATATTATTCACATCATTCTATAAGCCATTTTAGCAGCATATGACTTCAACTATAGTATCAAGGGTATTACTCTTCCTTTACTTTGGAAGATAATTATCAAATTTTTTATTAGTTAGTTAAAAGAAATTGTTCAAACATACCGGCAGAATGACCTACTAAATTAAGGACATCGTTTTCTTGGCTGATGTTTACCAAGCACTATATATATGGAAACTGAAAAGTCACCCAAAGAAATTAACTTTAATCAATATAGAGACAGTTACATGATTCTGCAGAGGATGATAATCTTATCCACTGTCAAATGAAATCAACTATTGGGGAATTTTGAAATACATATACCTTTTGGATCTAATGCAGTCAATAATATGTCAGTCGTCGTCCACAGCAATAGTTTAAAGCAAGTGTAATATTAGATTATTATATAGATACACCATTGGACTGAGTTTAAAAAATTTTATGCGTGTGAACAAATTCAAACGGTGCATTCTAACATTTGTGGCCAAAGAGCATTAATAAGAAAAAGAGAGACAAGTTGTCTCACATATTTCAGTAATCTCTTTTTGGTCTTTTATTAGTATTTCTTTTATTACACTTTAATTGGCATTAAAAACTTTAATTATTTGACAAAAAAATATAAATAATTTATGTCAGATAAAACGATGATGTGGCGTTGAAATGGTGTGTAACCACCGGAGATGGACCAACCCAGAACAAGAAGAAAAAAAATCATCATGATTAGGTAGTAGGCTACTGAATGTCGCAAATAGAATCGTGATTTGAGTAAGATTCTATTTGTGTCTTTGGCTAACTTGTTTTCTTACTCGAGGAGAATCCCCTTCAAGTGCAGTGCAAGAGTTAAAATTTTTAAAGAATAAGCGTCTTTTTTTTTAAGGTGTCATTGAAATAAGTCTTTCTGTAACTAATAAATTGTATCTCAATGCACCTTCTCTAATATAAATTGTATCTCAATGCACCTTCTCTAATATTCTCTGTAAAGGTCAGAACACTGGTTCTCTATTACTGTTTTACTTTCATACAATATTCCCCTTCCTATTCTTATTAGGAGACATTTTGATTTATTCTAAATTTTATTTAGTTTTAATTAAAAATAAAACTTTAAAATTATATTTTTATATTTATTATATTTTCCTAATTATTATTATAAAATAGTTTTAAAGTTTTATGTTCACTAGGACAAATAAAATGAGATTTATAATAAGAACATGAAAGAGTAAATCATTAATTTCATGGATCAGCTAATAAAACTTGTAGTCTATCATAAATTTTTTGGTCGATTGGCATAAAAGGATCCAGTTGCACGACGGGGGAGGGGGGATGTGCAGCTTCCAAAGTCAGAACACGCCGGGTGATCATCCTGAAATATTCCAACTGGCTTGTTGCAGCATTGTATACGCTTCCCTCGAACATGTCAATATCTCCTTTCCACACTGACAAGCCAAATGCATTAGGTATCCAACGGTAATGCTGGAAAGAGAGCGTCTTAAGTCTTTCAAACACATTGCGCTTAATCATTTCTCGACTCTCGGGTGGCATCTCAGCCCTCCAATCCGTGGCAGTGGCAGCAGCAGCAGCAGCAGCAGAGGGAGGATCCGCCATCCCCACTAGTGATGGATCAACTGAAGGACAAAATTAAACAGAATAGGATCAGGATCTACTACTAAAGAGACACAATCACCAGATCAATAGTGTATAGAGAAATTTTGTGCATAATAATAATAATATACCACATTCAAATGATAGAACCATATGCTTCTAGTGTATCACCTCAAGACGAAAAATATCTATAATATGTAATCAAACACTAAGCACAACAATCCAACTAGCCATCTCACTGATTAGATCAACATTCATGTTGCTATGGTTACATGGAAAAGTGAAGGTAAACGAAGAACTGAAACCCCAAATTGTAGCTAAAAGAACCCAAAAACCAACTCGGCCCAAACAATACCATCTTCTTCGACTTTTCATCACAAAAAGGAGACACCTTTATCAAGAAAAAGCATTAGGCTCTCAATAATCAAAGTGCAATCAAACCTAGTAGAACCAGAAAGTGCATTGAGCAAACCTTGTGCCCAAAAAAAACCCAGTCCTCAGAAGAAATTCAATGATTTCATAGAGCATTACAGGGCAAAAGACGTACTAACTAACCAACCCAATTCTTAATTAATTCGTGGACCCTAATAAAAGATAAAAGAAAGAAAAACAATAGGAGCGTGATTCGGTAACTACATATATTAATATCGACAAGAGCAAAGAACTGGGATCCTACCGTAATCTGGATCGACATCGGGATGGAGGTCCGGAACCACGACGCGGGGAATGGGGGGATTTTGGACTATGATACTCTGCAACCGCTTTGTTATTGTCGTCAGATATTCCGATTGGCTGGTTGCTGACGTGTATACACTCTCCTCGAACCTCGCTACACCACCCGCCCACGCCGACAACCCAGAAGCCGGGGGCAACCCATGGAACCGACCCAAAAAAACGTTCTTGAGCTTCTCCAATATATAGATCTTAATCATCGTTCGCCCTACATGTTTCACATCACTCCTCCAATCGGAAGCGCCGGCGCCGGCGGTGGCGGTGGTATTTTCACCCGTTGGCGGCGGAGGAGACATCCTTAAATCAATTGTGAAAATAACGGAAGAGTTAGTAGTGCGAAAGAATATCGTCCAGGAGGTCGGACATATATTTATAGACTAAGGATTTCTCTTCCCATGCTACGCGTGGCCATGTTATTTATTTATATTTATCCCTTTTATACCCTATTAAAGCAGAAGACATGAAACTTATGTGGCAACTAAGTATGCATCTATTTTGGCTCCAATGCACCATATTTCAGATTTCAGGAGTATTTTTGGCACGTGTAAGTCTCTTTTAATTAGAAGTTATATAATTTTTTTTTTAAAAAAAACACATGTTTTACTACAAATAAGGATCAGTTACATTTCAAACGAATGGATATATTAATTCAAATTCAAATGTCCAATCGTATAGTTTTGCAGGCTTAATATAAACAAAAAATAAAAATACCTAAATCCAACAATTAAGAATAATGCTTTATAAACTAATTATTTATTATTCCCTTATAACCTCAGATTTATAGGTATATTTTTTTAAGTCCCAAATCATAGCATAAATGATATATACGCCAAATTAATTCCTCAAAAAATAGTAATTCAATTAGATTTTAATAAAATAGTAATTTAGAAGGGGCGCCCGGGCATCTGCCTGGGCCAAACATCTAGTATATATGTATATATATATTTTTGTAATAAATAAGTTTTTCCCGAAAAGAAAATATAAGGTAAAGAGAAGTCAACATCTTAAATCCTTCAAATCCTTTTACAACATACACTCAAGAAAGTCATTGTATAAAAAATTATACTACAACAACTATTAAATCTTTTATTCTCTTCATCCGGTTTACATAATAAGGGAATCTGAATCAATTTGTACACATTAATTTCAACCAAAGATGACGCGTTTTGAAGATTTATACGGCACTCAAGAATCCAGATTTTCCGGAGAAGACAAAGTTCCCAATCAATGAATCATCATCTTCTTTAACTTCCGATTCCTGCACTAATTCTTAATTGCGAGTCATCTAAACTCACGGAGCTTATAATTCTACACGTCTACAGTCCAGTCTAATTTACAAAACATGGGTGACAACAGATATTCAGCCAAAAACGGACAATAATAGATATACTTGAACACAAAAATAATATGTAAAAGAAATCATGATTCAAATATATAATATAATAATAACGAGGATGAAAAAATTAAAGAAACATTATGTGGGAGTACATTATATATATATACCCAACATAAGGAGAAATCAAAAAATGTAAAACCCTGGACCCCAATAAGTTGTCTTTTGCCAAAAAAAAATGAAGAGGTCTGTAGCTCTTAGTCGTGGTTACAACTTACAGCAACTGAGAAAACAAAGAAACACATCTTTAAGTACTACTACTGCAGAAACCAGCGCCAAAGTACAGAGACATCAATGGCCATCATATACAAAATGAATCCCAAGGGCTTCTCTCTAAATGAAAGTCAGGAATTTACAAATAAAGCTTCAGCTACAAAAAAAGTATCATCCACAAAAGAGCCAAACTATTTACTTCCAACGTTCAAACTGCTAAAACCTGCTAATAAGACCGAAACCTATATGTTTTTGGGGATGGCTATGTTGATCTTGACCTGAGCAATCCCTGCTGTCCTGCTGAACATTTTTTTTGAGGGGAAAACTTCAATCAGGTCAAATACATGTTATCAAAGTTAACCATGCCACACAGTACTTTAGGATGGAACTTACATGAAGAGGTGCTGCTTCATGGACGTCACTTCACATTTCAGGAATATAATGAAGGTTGAGTAGACAACTAAGGCTACTCAGACTCTGCATTAAGTGGCATTTCATGAGAACAGTCAGAAACATAGAGGAATTTCAGATATAAATGACTCAAAGTGGAATGAGAATGGCCCTCAATGCCCCATCCTATTCTCGAACACTCATATAGTTCAGTATGCAGAACAAACACTTGACCAAGGCAAATTATACTACCAAAAGGATGATCAGAAACTTAAATTGATCACAACTTTACACTTACTTAGCTGTAAACTTAACTGGTCAAAGACCTTGCACGTAATCAATAAACCCTTACCCACGATTATGGAAGCGAAATTTCCATTAAACTTAATCATGAGTAACACCTTCAGTATCGAAAGAAGTGAGGGCTTAAAAGAGTTTTATGATTACTCTCCTATCTCTGATTAAAGTTACCAAAAGACAAGTTTGATTTTGGGTGAGAAAGAGGCCAGTAACCAATGTCTATGCTTGTGTGTAAAACATATGCAAATTGAAACTCTCCATACTTAAGATCTTCTGCTTGTCCGTGTTAATGAATTACCAAATACATCTACGCAGATATTAATGTGAGAATGTGACTGATAAAAGTATCAATTGAAAGATGCAGAACAGATCATGAACCATATTATCAAACTAACGTTTATGAACAGCAATCAACACCATACCAGAAAGAATGTTGGAAGTTGAGAAAAAAAAAAAGAAAGAAAGAAAGAAAAGAAAAACCCAGAAACAAAAATCAAGAATATGAATTACCTTTGAAGATTATCCTTGACCAGGCGGAAAGTTGCTGCCAAAACCGGTTCGCGAATTGCCCGAGAGATTGTTGGCGGACGACCCTGTTCCGAAACCGATCAAGAATTGCTCCAAACCTTCGCCGGTCTCATTTCCCAAGGGGTTGCTGCCAAAACCGGTTCGCGAATTGCCCAAGAGATTGTTGGCTGACGACCCTGTTCCGAAACCGATCGAGAATTGCTCCAAACCTTCGCCGGTCTCATTTCCCAAGGGGTTGCTGCCAAAACCGGTTCGCGAATTGCCCAAGAGATTGTTGGCGGACGACCCTGTTCCGTTGATCAAGAATTGATCAAAACCTTTGCCGGTCTCATTTCCCAAGGGGTTACTGACAAATCCCGATCTCAAATCGACGAAGGGTTCATTCTGAGACTCCAACCCGCCGGCTACCGGATTAAAACCAGACGACTGCCCCACCACTATTTGATTCTGATCCTGAAATCCACCCATCACATTAGGATCAACTTCAATTTGCTGCTGTTGCTGGGTGAGATTTGGAAACTCAAACTGAATATTATTGGGATTTTGCAGCGGAGCTTGATTTTGAGGAATTGGGCTCAATGCCAAGCCGCCTCCAGAGAAGACCGTCTGAGGATCGTACGAGTTCTCCCGGCTCTGTTGTTCGGCTCTCTGGGCATGAACTGTTCGGATAAGCATATTCACTTGATGCCTCGCCCTGTTTAACTCCTCCTGCAGATCATCATAAGCTTTCTTCGGACCTTGTGATGGGAACTCCACCCATTCAACGCGCAGAAAAGATAATTCCTTGGATGACCGAATCACGCTCCTCCTCTCCGGCCTTGTTCACTCGGTCCCAAATTGCATTGATTCCAAAAACTGCTATAGCCTGCGCGAGCTGGGTATGTTTTGATTCGGGTAACCACTGGCGAATCTCGCAATTTTCTGGGCAATTCCTCCGTGAATGTTGGTGTACCAGGCACTTGGGATTTCGGGGTTGCCGTGGACCACACTGCTGTCTGCTGCTGCTGCGGTGGTGGTTGCTGGCGGTTCTCTTCAGCTTCAGCCATTTCTTGATTTTCTTGAGAAAGCGGGAAAAACAAAGCGAGGAAGATGAAGAGAATTATGGGTAAAAGGAATAAACCGTTATTTTTCTTTCAATCACGAATATCTGACCCGAGAGTCAACAACTATTGTATGTTTAATAGGACCATGTTAAGACGGTTTTTTTTTTTTTTGAAGAAACAAGAAGTCTATTGGAAATATGCCTAAATTGCAATTGTAGATTATAATTATCTAAATTGCACTTTTTTTTATACCAGAAATGTAAAATGTAGTGATTTTTTGCCTTGTCGTATATTTTTAGTACATAGTTCAAATTGTTTATGAAGAAAAAAAAAAGGCCAATTGGATTGAATAGTTATATTTGTAAGTTTTGCCATGATTCCAGTGATGCCGCTAATTTTAGGTCATGTACATACAAAACTTTAATTAATGAGATGTGACGCGGAAAAACAAAATAGCGAATGCAAATGAATTACCCAAGTAAAAAAAAAAAGAAAATCTCTAGTGACATTTTTATTTTCTCTATTCCATTTCTTAATCGTTAGGATTGCAACACAACGTTCTGCAAAAAACAAAAAACTGAGAATTGTACGGAATTCCATCTAAACTCTTAAGTGATACTCAACAGAACACTAAAATCGACAAATATGCCTTGCAAATATACTTTAAAATATGCCTTACAAGAAATATCAACCATATCAGTTTTTTGGTGTCCAGATGCCTTTGTATATTATTCACTCTGATCCTTAATACAAGACATTTTTCATTTTGTCTTATATTTTATCTAGTACGCATTTTAAATTGAGAAAAAATCTTTAAAAATATATTTTCATATTCATTGTATTCTCTTGATTGTTATGAAATATTTTAAAAGTCTTTTTATCAATAAAAAATACATGCTAGCTTAAACATAAGACAAATCAAAATAACTTATATTAAGGATCAGAGGGAGGAGTATCATTTTTCTACTTCAACGACGATTCGCATTTCACAATACCGGAGCGTTGAAAGTGTTAAAATGAGCGTCCAGCACATCACCCCACTTCCACTGCTTGCCACTTTGCTGCTGCAATAGACTTCTGAACAAAATCCCAAAGGTGAAAGATGGATTTGTATATAAATCGATTTTGATTTCAACGAACACTCAACTCTAAAAAGAAGACTGTAACAGTTCAGATAACTCTGTATGTGTGTGTTAGGCCTGTTCATTCAGGTCAAAATAACGGGTTTCGGGTTAAAGAAATCGGTTATTCGGGTCCTCGAGTTGAAAACGGATTGACCCGATTTAAGCACAATATCATTTAATTAACAACCCGAATAACTTGTTCGGTTATTCGGGTTTCCGGTCGGGTAATCGGGTATACCCAAATAACATTATTTTTTTTAAACAGATTTACTGCAGCATTTTTTTTTCTTTTGACCTATAATTTT